CCATAAAAATTTTGAAAATATTTGCAAATAAATAAATATTAAAATAAATTCTTATTAAAAATTTTCAAAATGTCACATAAAATTTTAATTTAGCTTTTATCAAAAAAACAAAAAAAAATAAAGAAAAAATTTCTGATCTTTTATTTGGAAGAGTAAAAAAAAGGAGTGAGATATCAGCAACAGCATCTACTCCAGCAACAGCATCTACTCCAGCAACAGCATCTACTCCAGCAACAGCATCTACTTTGACAATAGCAGAAACATCAAACATCATTAATAAGAGAAAGGGTGAAAGTGAAATGAAGGATATATTAATAGGACCATTTGATAAAGAATTATAGGAATTACCACTAACTTGTGTAACTAAAAGAAGAAGGACTGAAGAAGGAAAGGAAGAACAGTATTCCAATAGTAATTTTCAAAAAATTTCAAAAAATTTTAATAAAGATATTTTACAATATATAATTTATTTTATTAGGAGAAGAACCTTTGTTAATAAGAAAAAGAAAGCAAAATCGCGTATTAGATTATTTAAAAAAAATTGACAAGGAAGTTGAAAACCTTCGAAAGGAAATTTTGGACATCCAAAAAATGACGGAGAAAAGTAAAATGATAAAAGAAAACGATAATATATATAATCCAACATTTATTAAAGTAAATATTTTATTTTATTTATTTATTTTTATAAAAAAAAAACTATTTCACTCATAATATTTTAAAAAAAAAAATTGTTGAAGAAATTGCAAGCAAGTTAATCGAAAACATATATTTGAATTATAATACTCTTGAAGCAACTATGACAAGTTACTTAATAAAAAAATATTCGAAATTTTTTGAAGGTTGGAAAAATAGTTACTGGATATTTTATTATAATTTAATTCTTAAAGGAAGAGTAAGTTTTATTAAATATATTAAAATCTAGATATCTCAACAATTAACAAAAGATTTTGAATTATTTTAAAGTTAAAAGAAAAGCATTGGTTCAGAAGAGGGTGCTATCTATCCAAATCAGATATTCTATATTTTTTGTATTTAGGAGTCTCCCAAAAATAAATATGAAAGTAACTCCAAGTAAGATAAAAGCTTGGAAAGAGTTGTCAATTGTTAAAGAATGTTATAAAAAGTTATTTTCAAAAATAACGAATGATGAAGATGAAATCTGATGTGGAAAAATAATTAACGAAGTGTGGAAGGACACCTTGAAAGTTTCTAATGAACAAGTAACTTTCATTGTAATATTATGCGAAAGTTTTTTAAATCCCAATAATGAAAATATTAAAAATGATAGTAAATATTTATGTAAGAAATTGAAAAGAAATCTAGTAAGTATTAAAAATATTCAGATTTTTTTTAATTTTTTAAAATATTAAAAAAAAAATTTATATTGATAGAAAAAAATGGAAAATGGTGAAAAATTTGATTTGAGAGAGTTAAATTTTGATGAAAACGAGTCAGAAAGTGACTTAACCATATTAAATGTGAATGAAAAAGAAACGAGAAAAATAGAAGAAGTAATAAGAAAAGAAGCAAGAATGAGAAATATAGAAGAAGCGAGAAGAGAAATAAAAGTAAGAGAAAATAAAGGAAAAAGTCGATAAATAAATTTATTAATTTTTATATATTATATATTATTATATATTATGAATATTATAATAAATATGCATACAGAATATAAAAAAATTTTTAAAAAATTTAATTTATATATATTTTATTATATTATTATATTTTTTTACATATATTTTTTTATATAATAAAGATTTGATGAAATATTACAAAAACTAATCTAATAATTTGTAATTATAAATATTCGAAAAAAATAAAATTCGTAAAAATAATTCAAAAATCTTTAGAAAACTCTGAAAATTTGTTGTCATCAAAACTAAAGAAAAATAAAGAAAAAGGATGTTAGAAATAGTATTGAATAAACTGATTCAATTCCTGTCACTATTTTTTAAATAAGCATATTAGCATCTGAGAGAATCCAACTTCTAGACAACAAGATTATAAATAACCTGCTGAGCGACTACTCTGTTACTCTGAAAACTATGAAAAAGACAAAGACACAGTAAAGTTATGAACATAACCTGCTAAACAAATACCTGTTACATAGGAACACAACAGAAAAAGCAAAGCATCGCAATATAAGAATTACGTTATTCAAGAAAAGAGACTCTACCCTAATCTATAATTTAATACAACCAAAAGGACTCAAGAAGTTTCGTTAAAATCTCGAATGACCAAAACCAACATACTTACTTGAAAAATAAACAAGTTTTGAAAATTTCTGGAAAATTTTTGTCTTCTAAAATTTTATAAATAGTTTTTGAAAAAATTTGAAACAAGATAAACAAGATCATTTAGATAAATAAACAAAATCATTTTGTGTTACATATTTAGTCTATTAAACAAAATATTACATTTTTCATGATATTTTGTACAATAAAAATTTTGAAAATTTACGAAAAACTTTTCATAATATTTCATAAAAACTAACGAAATCTTTTGATATAAAAAAATTTCAAAAATTTCTACAAAAATTTATAAAAATTTATGGAAATTTATATAAAAATTTATGGAAATTTTATATTCCATAAACTTATGGAGTTATCTGCTCTTAAAAATTTCCTGATGAATATTATTAGGTTTATCAATTTTTTCAATATTACCAATATTACCAATTTCATCAGATCATCAGTTTTCTTAATTATAATTGGTGATTGGTAATTGGTGAGATTTGGTATAACTCATAAATGTAGTTTCACTATTATTTATATTTGTGAGATTGCAAAAGATTTTTTTTTATCAAAAATATTTATAATTTTTTATAGTTTTTAAAAAAAATATTCAAGGTTTAAAGACAAAATAAAGAAAAGTAATAAAGTAATATTTTAATTTTTTCTTTTCTGTGAGAAGTATTTTACACAATATAATTAGATGAAATATCATATAATAGCTTTGTTTCTAAGCAGGTACAATCATTTAGTCATATGATCGAACCTGACTTTAATAATTCTCTCTGAAAAAAATAGTTATAAATATTAATTATCATTAATTTTTTATTCTCTGTAAATAGTATATCACTTTGTTTTAAAAGAGAAGGAAATATAGTTAAGTAAAAAATTTTTGGTAACAAATACCTTTGGTTATATTATACAAATCATGTAAATTTAAAGCTGTCATACTAGTTGCACAAAATTTTTTATTTGATATAAATTATATCTTTTTTTAATAAGAAGTAAATCTTTTGTATCAGATTATATATTATAATTAATTACATTATTTTTTTTGAATTATAATAGGTATTTTTAAATATATTAAAAATTTAAATAGTAATTATTATAAGGTATTACTAAAGCTTACCAGTGATAATTGTTATTGCTAAACAAAATTACATAATTCCTTAATCAACTCTTAATCCTAACTTTATTTACTTAAATTGAATTTTATCTAGTAGTAACAATCACTACTGATGAGCTTTAGTAATTTTCATTATTATATATAAAATTTTTAATTTAATAAGTAATATTTAAATTAAAAATAATATATAAAATAATTATAATTAGGAAATAAAAACCATTGTAAATTCGGAACAAATAATTGATAAAAATTAATAAAATTTATATATATAACATTATATTACTGAATAAAAATCACATATTGTGACAAGAAATATAACTGATTAATTTTACTTTACATAGAAATATAATATTTATATTACACTTTACTCCAAACAAATATTTTAAACTTAAATATTTGAAAATTTAATAATCAAATTTTAAATAATTATTCTTTTCTCAATTCTTAATTAATTTATATAAAACTTAAAAGTTAAATTTATTTATTAAGTTTTCTAATTTATAAATTATTTTTAATTTTAATTTTTAATTATTATTATAGTTATTATTTTTTAATTATTAAAATTTACAATATAGGTAATTTGTAATTTTATAATTGTTTTTATTGTCAAGGTAATATTTAATACCTTAAATCTTTTGCATAATTATAAGCCTTTATTATAATTACAAGAACAAATTTTATATTGTATTTCCTACCAATCAGGATTTATAGTATAATAAAATAATAATTACAGTTGATAAATCTTTAACTGCCACATTTCATTTATGTAAATGCATAACACAAATATGGAGTATCACGTGATTAATTAATTTGATTTTCTGACTATCGCGTCACACGCTTCAAAACACGCAATTTTTTGTGCACATGCATGCTGTGTTTGCTGCGGTAAACCGGGATTGACAATTTATAAGTTTGAATAGTTCCGCGACTTGTATATTTTTAACCAAAATAACCAAAATGTCAGAATCAAAGACAACCATCGAAATCGGATCTTTTCACTTGGTTCAACGAAGAAACGAATATCGTGAGTTTTATTCACCCGACACTTTTTATTACTAGTTCTTGAGCCATTGTTTTAAGCGTTATAATGCTTTAAGCAATTGAACTAAAGTGTTACTTTTTTCGTTTCGACTTTATTAACAGACCAAGCAGAAATTCTTGAAAAGAGGTGCATAGAAGAAGCTTCAGTCTGGGAGTACTACGTTCACTATATTGAATGCAAGTTACTTATGTATATTTTCTATCGAACTCGTTAAAGATAATAAATTATAATTATGTATTTAAAATCTCTTATTGACACGAAAATAGTTGACCGCCGCCTTGACGAATGGGTATCACATGACCGGATCGATCAAAAAAATATATTTCCCAACACAACAATGTCATCTTTAAATGGATCATCCATGTTAAAATCAAATCACCATAATAAAGCGAAACGAAAAATAGAAAGCGAAGACGAAGAAGATTATACACGACCGACGGCTCGTATTTCAATGAAAAGGCCTATCGGTTGTGTAAAGGAAGAAAGTGAAAAAAATGTGAAGGTTTTGTTTTTTTTTCTATCGAAAATACACTAATAAAGAAGAACTTTTTAATATTCATATTTTAAATAATTTTTGTTTTTTGAAGAAGCAGGACGTATCTTCTTCCCTTCATGCACATGAGCAACCATCTAAAGTTCAAGAGTTACTTGAGATGGAACATGTTCGATACACAAAAGTTAGAAATATTGATGTGGTAGTGTTTGGAAAATATGAGATCGAGACGTGGTATTATTCACCTTTCCCTGATGAATACAAAAACGTCAAAAAGATATACGTATGTCAACATTGCCTGAAATATATGAAGGTTAAAGAAACATACGGTCGACATATGGTTAGTAAGAATAAATTATATTAATTATATTTTAATTCAACTTTATTTCAATTATAACTTTCACGGAATAATGAGAATAACGTGATAAATCATGTTTACTTTTTCAAAATAGTCTTTATGCGATAGAAGATATCCAACAGGTGTCAAAATATATGAAAAAGGTCGAAACAAGATATATGAAGTAGATGGAAAATTACAAAAGGTATTTGTTAGTTTATGCCGATCTTTGATATAACTATAAAATTGATATGTCAACCTTATAATAATTTTTGTTTTTGTTTTTATTAAAGCTTTATTGTCAAAGTTTTTGTCTGTTAGCTAAAATTTTTTTGGACCATAAAACAATTTATTACGATGTGGAATCATTTTTATTTTATATATTGGTCGAGATCGATGATCGTAATGAAGAACATGTTGTTGGATATTTTTCCAAGGTAAAACATAAAATTTTCCAAATAAAAAGCTTTGTTGATATCGAAATTACGTTATAATAAATTATAAATAAATAAATAAAATAATTAATTAATTAATTAACCATTTTATAACTATTATTATAACTATTAACTATTTTTCACTATTTTATACAATAGGAAAAGATTTCATATGATAACTATAATTTAGCATGTATACTTATCTTACCTCCATATCAAAGACGAGGTTATGGTCAGATGTTGATAGAACTAAGTAAGTCGCTTTGATAACATAATTACATAAGATTATATAAAATTATATTAATATTTTTATACTTAACTTGTGATCCAAAAAAATTTCTCTAAATAATAATAATTTAAATGAAAAGGTTATGAACTCTCTAAAAAAGAACATAAAATTGGAACTCCAGAACGACCAATATCAGATTTAGGTATGAAAGGATATAAATCGTATTGGAAACGTACAATTTTACGAATTCTTCAAAATCATACACCACCACCTAAACCAACTATTAACGGGTTGTCTAATGGGCCTCATGGATCACAATCACAACAACTGGATGGTAACGAAAAATTCATGATTTCCATAACTGAAATATCACAAAAGACAAGTATCCGACAGGATGATGTCATATATGTACTGCACGAGATGGGATTCCTCAAATATCGTAACCCCAAAGTTGGTTCCGTGGATATAAATAATACAATTGTAATTAATCACGATCCAATCAATCCAATAATTATTTTTGATGGTGATAGTCAATTACAATCACGTGAAGATGAATATACCCAAAATATAGAAGAACGTAATATAGTCTGCGTCACACGTCGTATGATCGATGATTACATAAGGAATAACGACGTAAAACTCGATAACAGAATGCTTGACATTTGTTGTCTTAAATGGGCACCACCACCAAATAATAATCAAACAAAAATCCATTAATAATAAGATGAACACACTACATTTTGTAAATATGTATATTATTTATTTACTACTAAAGAAACTAAGAGGAAATCCGATTTTTTTTGGAAATGTGATTATATAAGAAGATTGCGAAAGTTTTTAAAATATAATCTTTCATACAGTAATTTTTTTGAAGGTGTGATTATATGGAGTTTAACTATGTAGGATGTGACTATTTAGGATGTGACTGTATAGAGGGCCGACTATCATCTAGATTTTCGTCCGGGGTAACGAAACTTTGTGACATGGTTACACAAGTCAACCTACTCTTGGTATCATATGATGTTAAGGGATTCGTAACAATAATGGAATCTTCTGGATTTTTATTATTATTAATATTTGTCAAAATTTCATCCAAGATCCAAATATTAATAACACCATCCGACGAAATGGATGCCAAAAGTGTAAGAGGGGTTGAAAGATTAATAGTAGGTGGCAAAGAACGAATTAAGGAAATATCTTTAATTCTATTTCGAGTGAGTTTTAAGGTGAGTAATAAATTAAATAATTAAATTAAATTAAATGTAAATTAAATATTAATAAAAAAAAAAAATATTTAAATATATTTATTTTATTTAAACCATTTAACCATTTACTAACAAAAATATTACATACCGATTTTTATGATTGGATAATTTTACGATGCAATCACCTTGTTTAATATCATAAATCCTCACGATCTTATCTTCGCTTCCTGTAATCAACAAATCTCCTCGGGTTTCATGGGTATAAAACTGCATACACAGGTATTGTGAATTTATGAGTTGAAATTTTTGTATAATATCGGTAGTCTAATAATAATAATAATCATATTAAAAAATAAATGATGTTTTTTTTAAAAAAAATTAATTAATCTTGTATTTAGTAGCGAGTATTAAGTAATAGAAAGTATTAAAGTAATAGCAAGTATTAAGTAATAGAGAATATTTATTATTAAGTAGAAAGTATAAGAGAATAACTAAAAGAACGAATCCTTACCGTTGTATCATATATTTCGATTTCGTGTGAAAACATAATTGCATAATGGTCACCTGATGAACTCCATAATATAACCTCACCCTCTAGAAATATATTTAAAGCATATATATATATAAAAAGTATATTATATAAAGTATATTTATATGTGTATACATTATATATAAAATTACCTCTTCCAAGTTTAATGACTTTTGATTTCTGACCAATTAACAAGTTCCATAACCGTAAAGTTTTATCGCTAGCAACTGATAAAGCTAATTTTCCCGAAGGATGAATAGCTAAAGAATTTATTCGACCTTTATGACCTTTTAAAATTTTTAAACATTCCCAATCTTTTGTTCTCCAAATACATATACAACCATCTTCACTTCCACTTAATAAATGAGTTTTATTGTAAAATTGGAGTGTAGTTATTGATCCGTTATGTTGTAATAACGAACCGATTTCTTTGCGCTTTTTGGTATCATATAATCTTTGATAAATTGAATAAATTGAATAAATTAAGAAATTAATTAATGAGAAATTAATATGAGAAATTAATAATTATAAGAATTATATAACTTATAAGAATTATATAACTTACTTAATTATTTCATCAGTACTTCCTGAAGCTAAATATCTTTCACCCACAGAAACAGTTTTAATACATCCATTGTGAGCAGGAAATATGAAAATAGGTTTTAATTTCATCATCAACAATGAAGACAATGAAGACAATGAAAAAGAAGGTTCCTCTTTTTGATTTTCTTTCTTCTCGGAATTTTTTTTTATCCAATTTCCATTAATACCATATAATATTCTTTCATAACTACCAGCAATTATTAAAATATCTTCAACAATGTTAGTAGTAGATTCATTTGACACTTTAAATACTTCCGGATAAATAATTACATTCTGCGAGTTCTCAATATTATTTTTTTTTTTATTTTTGTTGTTACTATTTTTGTGATCTTTGCTGTTAATATCTTTGTTGTTTCCACTTTTGTTGTTGTTACTTTTGTTGTTGTGATTGTTGTGATTGTTGTGATTGTTGTGATTATTATCGGTATTATTATTTTTAGAATCTATGCTGCTCGGAACCTTCGATCGCTTTATTTTCGGCATAAGGTTATATTAAAATTGGATCAATAAAAAAAGTTGTATTTATTATTTTCTAAAAAAAATCGCTAAGTTTAACTCGGTAATGATCAAGGGGGGAAAGATATAAGGTGAGTTGTATTAAATATTATGGGAATTTGTACTAAAAAAAGAGAAGATAATGGTAAGTATGAAAGCAAGATCACAAGATTTCAGCAGAGATAATCTATAATTAAAGAAGTAGATATCTATCTAACACGCGATTTAAAAATTTTTTTTAAAAAAATTTTGATTATCGTTATATATTTTTCAAAAATGATTGGTGGTCTGCGGTTTCATTATTCAAGGTGAATATATACAATTTTTTATTTGTAAAGTTTAAATTGTTTTAACAATTTTTTTCGACTTTTAGATTTTCACGATCAAAAGCAACGTTAATTAGTTCACATAAGGTTTGAGAAGAAAAAAAAATGGCTTAATTCTTTATTCTCTGCATTCAAGTATTTATGTACCTGGAAATGTGAACATACTTTCGCTTATAATATGTGTTGTAAAAATAGTTTTCAACAAATGTTTCTAATATACCACTATCAAACATCCGTAAATCAAGTCGAAAGTTTCAGGTTGGAGGAAGGATATTTCAAGAAAAATTATTATTTTTTCACAAAACAAAAGATAAATCAGTATTTACAAATCAATTGAGATATTATGTAGTTCCAAATACAATAAATAATATAACAGAAGTACCTACGTTACCCTCGGATGTTTCATCAAATGTTGCTACTACCGCATCTACCGCGTCTATCGAATCTACCGAATCTACCGAATTTATCGAATCTACCGCATCTGACATTGATTCAACCATTGCTGTTGTATCTAGTACTGTGGAGAAAATTGGAGATTTAAAGGCAATGGGTCTTGTTCATTATACTCCCGTTGGTGCTATTGAGACCTTATTTGAAGCGATCCACGTTTTAATTGGCATTCCATGGTGGGGAACAATAATAGTTGGCACTCTCTTAGTTCGTGTGATTTTAGTACCATTTGCAATTCAATCAGCACGATCTAATGCCAAAATGCAGAACCTTCACCCGATGATCAAAAATACAATAGATGAAATTAATGAAGCAAAAAAACATCACGATCATACTTTACTGATGAAAAAAACCCAACAATTGAGTGAAATATATAAAAAACATGAACTTAAACCGTTTAAAAGTATCTCACTTATGTTACTTCAAGCTCCTGTGATGATTAGTTGCTTCTTTGCAACAAAAAGAATGGCTGAATTTCCAGTAGAAGGTTTTAAAACTGGTGGAACTTTATGGTTTATGGATCTTACCGCGATGGACCCTTATTATGTCTTACCAATTATGTCAACGCTTGGCTTTTATTCAATTATTGAAGTAACTATTCTAATATAATAAATATAATAAATTTGTTCGTAATCTCAATTTATGAATGTACTCAATCTTTTTTTAACCTTAATTTTAGTTGACGACTAGCCAATTGAAGACACAAAATCTTAAATTAAAATGGGGTATGCGCATAATAACATTAGCGGCTGTACCAATTACGGCTTTTTTACCTGCAGTATGTAATCAATTTATATATAATATTTTATAAATTTTTAGTACAAAAAAAAAATTGTCACATATCACTAATTACAGAACATCTTTTTTTCAAGTCTGTTCAAGTATATTTTATCAGTACAGCATCTTTCAGTTTTTTACAATCTTATTCTATGAATCATCCAAAGGTCCGAGAATATTTAAAGATACCAGCTATAATTCAATCAAAAGAATCACCAAGTGATTCTATGAATCCTTTTACAGAACTTTTACAAAATATTACAAATAAAGGAAAAAATGACAACAAATTAACAAAAGCAAGTGGCAAGAAGATTATTAATACAGGGACACTTTCACATGGTGAAAATAAAGCAAGTGGTAAGACTAAATTATCTAATAAACAGTTATTTTAAAAATTGGTTTGACCCATTAGGAATATTATGTGTATATAAAGAAGAATTAAAATCTTTTCTAAATAAACTTAAATAAAAAGTTTAGATATTTTCTTTTTAGAATTAATATTATAATTTTTTCTTTAGTTTAGAAATAATTTTCTGAAATAAACAAAATTTTTATTTATTAAATTTACTATGGTTTTGGTGCTGTAAACCATTCATAAAAGAATTTTTCATTTATATTTATGGACATATCCTTTGTACTTCTTGCAGATCGTTTTCTGTAACAAATCTAGTAACCAATAAGTTATATGCCCAAACAAAATGTTTCAAAATCTTTCTATTATTATTATCTAACATGTCCCATAGAATTGTTGTTGTATAAATTATAATGAAGGTCTTCCATTGGTCAGCAGTAAGTTTTGAAAATCATTCTCCAATAGTGATTTTTGAAAGGATTCGACCAATATTATCCTCCTTTATATTATATGAAGTTGCTCAGAATTTAATTTATTCTCTTTAATAAATATGAATTAAATAATTCATTTTGTAATCCAAAAGAACAAGCAGTATATGGGATCCACTACTGCGAATCTGATTAGATCTATATAAGGCATCAGGAAATTTTAATAAGCAAAAATTTCCGGAATTTTAATATGGTATTAAATTTTCAGAATTTTTTATAAAATATTACGGAAATTTCAGGAAAATTTTTGAAAATTTTTCAGATATTAAAATTCTGGAATATTATAGATGTAATTTTTCGGAATTTTAACATAGTGTTAAATTTTCAAAAATTTTTCAAAAATTTTCGAAAATATTTGTTTTCAAAAATTTTCGAAAATTTGATACTTTAAAAAAGTACAAATTTTTTAAAGTAAATTTTTATATATAAATTATATAAATCTAAATCTGAT